AGGAATCAAATTATTGCTAGTGAAGTTTTGGCAAGTGAGTAATCTAGGTACCATTATTATCTGAACCTCGACAAAGGAGACCATAATACCCATAAGCAACGCGCACGGTTAAGACTTTAGAAAGCTATATGGAGAGTTGGAAAGCGACCCCATCATGGGAATGCCAACGGATGGAATAATTCCAAAATATAGCTCTCAAAAATCTTTCAAAATGAGTATAACGGACAAAGAGGCATGGAAGGAAGGACCTCCTACCAATACAGACATTGCTGTCTATACGGACGGCTCCAAAACTGAGGAAGGATCAGAAGCTGGTATTCATGGGGCGAAACCAAAGACAAGAATCTCAGTGAGCTTAGGTAAATACGCGACGGTCTCTCAGGCAGAAGTTATTGCAATACATCATCCCAGGCAACCAGATGACGTTCCAGTGACGTTTTTTTTACGTCACTTGAAAGACCAAGGTGACGTCAGTAGTTGACGTCGCATTGACGTGATAATGACGTGAATAAGTCACAGCCCAATGACATCATATTACTCACGTCGTATTGACGTCATTCACTCACCAAACTGATGAATGACAATTGAATTTGGCGATGATACGCAAAAAAGATTCCTTTATCATAGTGTGATTAACACCACTAGCCTCTGATGACATTATATAATATCGATTATGCATTGTTGAGTCTGCTTGGTGGGTCCTTCCTGTGTCATGTTTATGCAATCGCCTATTCAGCAGCGTCATCCTTAAGCTCACCAAATTGGTACGTCACTCCGACGTGATTTTCAGACGTCATAGATTCGTCACTGCAACATCTTGGGGATTGTTTAAGTCCGTACAAAGACTTTTTGAGCTTGCACACTAACCCAGGATCACATTTTAGTCCTTCTGGAGGCAACATAAACAGCTCTTCTTTTAATTCTCCATACAAAAATGCTGTTTTAATGTCAAACTGCTTCATCTTGAAACTGTTCTGGGCAGCAACAGCCAACAACACTCTAATCGAGTCATACCTTATTGTTGGGGCAAAAACTTCAGTATAGTCCACTCCTTTATTTTGTGAGAAACCTTTTGCACATAGACGTGCTTTAAATCATGAGATATCACCATCTGGAGTTCTCTCAACCATAAAAACCCATTTGGATTTGATAACTTGTTTACCAGCTGGTAATTTACAGAGTTGCCACGTTTCTTTTTTCTGATGGGAACCTAATTCTTCTCTGATTGCATGATTCCAATCTTGAGCTCTGCCACAATTTGAAGCATCATCATATGATTGAGGAGTGTCTACCTCTGCAGAATTCAGAATGTATTCTTTATACCTTTTTGGCATAGTTGTGTTTCTCTGAGGACGTAGAATTGGTATTTCTAATTCTCCTTCCTCTAGAAAACCCTCATTTCTTTCAATTTCTTCATTGATTTCTCCTTGAGTTGACTCGTTCTGTTCATCATTTCCATTAATATCAAGCGTTTGAGGATTCAGCAACTGGACCATTATTTTTGATGGTTTCATTAAATTAAACATTTTTTGAAACAATAACATTCTTTGTTATTGGATCAAAAAGCCTATAATTACTTGATTCCTTCTCATATCGAACAAAGATGTATTTTTTACTTTATGGATCTAATTTGGACTTTTTCTGTTCAGGAATCAAGGGATATGATTCAACACCAAATGTTCTCAAATGGCTTAAATGGGGTTTTTCACCATACCATAACTCAAATGGAGTAGAGTTAGGAGCTTGTGTGGTTTGGGTTAGATTTAAAATATACACGGCTGTTTTCACAGCCTCAGCCCATAGAAATATGGCAACACCGGCTCCATGTATCATTGTCCTGACACACTCAACAATAGTCCGATTGTCACGTTCTGCGCGGCCATTTTGTTGAGGCGTATAGGGCGCGGTGAATTCAAATCGAATACCTTCCTTGGAGAAATAGTTCTTTAACTCCTGGTTATTGTATTCGGTGCCATTATCAGTGTGTAATACTTTTATAGCATACCCTTGATGATTTTTAACTTTTTTTGCAAAGTCTTTGAAACAACTGAACACATCAGACTTGTGTTTAATGAAGTTCACTTCACGAAAACCGGAAAATTCATCTTTGAAAGTGACAAAATATCGTGAACCTTTCACTGATGGAGTGCTCATTGGTCCACAAACGTCACTAAAAATTTGCTCACTAATTTTCATTTTTTCATAAGGAGCTTTCTTAAACGGTAGCTTATGTTGCTTGCCATAAGCACAAGCTTCACAAAAAAGTTGTTAACATTGCCCAAGTCTACACCACTTATCAGGTCTTTAGACACCATTTCACGAATTGTTTTACATTTATGTGTTCAAGCCTCTCATGCCACACTTTTAGAGACTCACTTGTTGCGACATTCACTTCAATGGTTTCTGTACGAAACATCATTTCATAGAGGTTGGTACTTGGATCACGTTTTGCTACTGCAGTAAGCTCAGACTTGTCAAAAATGTCAGCTTTGACATTGTCATTATTTATTCGCATTCCTTTATTGGTCACAACACCTTCAGAAAACACATTTTTCTTCAGATCAGGCACATACAGAACATTGTTTATAGTAGCATCACACCATTGGTTGTTGAGTAATTTCTGGATTTTTATTACTCCCTTGCCTTTCACAAGTAGTGTTTGATTATTACCCAAAATCACATTGGCATCATCAACTTCTTCAAAATTATCGAAAAATTCTCTACAATAGCTCATATGAGCTGATGCTCCACTATCCATGATCCAACTGATGGAATTTTCAGAGAAAGTGTTCTGTTCTACACTAAAAGCTGATGCTGAACTAGTGGATGCTTGTTCCTTTGATTTTGACTGACAATTTTTCGCTATGTGCCCCCTTTTATGACACTTGTAACACTTTACTGGGGATGATTTCTTCTTGACTGCGTCTTTCACTGAAACTGCTGCCAATGCTACCTCTGCTTCTTCAATGGATGACAAACTGGCCTCCTCATCCATGAGACGTGCTGTCAAGTTTTGAACCGTTTGCTTGGATTCGTCTAACGAAAGCCAGGCCTGCCTTACGTTTCTAAACTTCATTGGCAACGTATTTAAAAATTTAGTCATTATCGCTGCATTGCTAACTGTATCACCTGTATCTTTTATCTGCTTTGCCAGATTTTCCACCTTGGCAATATGCTGTGCCACAGAATTACTCAAATCCATCTTATATGAATGAAAACGTTCATGAAGAACCATTTTATTTGTTTCAGATTTAAGCAGATAAATAGAATCAAGTTTGTCGAGAATGTCCTTAGCTGTATTGCAATTCTTTTTATTTTTATTTATTTATTTATTTATTTATTTATTTATTTATTTATTTATTTATTTACGGGACACCCCCATCACAAGTTTAAATTCAGTATGAATATAAGACTATAATGAATATAATTAATATACACCATGTCTCAACACATAGGTACTCACTTAACAATTTCGATAAGGAAAAGAGAAGAATAAAAACATGAAACGAAACAATAGGCTATAAGCTATCACGCAAAGACATCTCAAACTCATTAATTTATTGGGCAACTTGGAAATTTTCTCATGAATCATGTAGCTATTCAACACCGGATTAGAAATATAGAAGTTGTTAAATCCTTGAAAATCATCACAGTTTGAATTTATTGATGCTTTTACATAAACCGTTGAAAAATAATCTGCAAAATATTGTACAATCTGCTCACCATTTTCTGCAGTATTATCATCAAGAAACATTGTATCTGGAATTGTATTTGTGGACGATTTACTCTTCAAATATTGCCAAAAATATTTAGGGTTATTATTCAATGAATATTCGATACGGAAAATATAGTTCTCATAACAAACTTTTGATAAATTCTTGCATGCAGTCCTGAGTTCTGAAAAGTGTTGGTAATCAAGAGCACATTTGCTAGACTTATATTGCTGATGAGCAATTTTTTTAAGTGTGATCAAGTGTCTAAGTTCCGTTGAAAACCATTTAGGGAAAGACGAATTCCTATATTTTTTGAGAGGCACAAATAATGCTATAGCCATATCCAAAATATTATGAAATTCTAATGTGGCGATATTTATATCTCTATTGTTTAGACATTCACTCCAACGTATAGCAGCAAAATAGTTGTTTAGTCCTATAACATCAGCATTTTTAAAATCGTAATAGTACTCACCATATTTCAAACTGTCTTTCACATGATGTTTCACCAATGAAATATCAAAGGAGTAGCCTACATGGTGTGTACTATTTGGAAAAATATTATCGATTGCGGTGTTAACAATATTGTCAGATACATTCGAAAACATTAAATCTAAGTATACATTTCTATCATTTGGTATAGTAATTTGTTGAAAGAAATTCGAAAATGCATAACTTTGTGCTAGCACTAACGCATGTGAACCTTGAGGACAGTTCACTGTCAGTCCATCTTCATCGTTATGCCAAGTTGCTTCTGGTAAGTTGAAATTCCCAAAAATATAGGAATTTGTATCTTTCAACTCGTGCATCAAACTCTCGACCGTTTCAATGTGTTGAAAATATTTCTCTTCAGATGATTGAGGTGGTATATAAACACCACCTATGACAAAGCTATCTGATTCGACTGAACATGATAAAAACAGTTGTTCAACACTATTATGCAATACTCTCAAACGTTTAACTCTTATTGCTTCTTTCACAAGAATAAGAACTCCCCCTCCTCTAGATTTACTACTGCTGTTTCTATCTCGATCACACCTGAATATATTATAATTGTTCATTTTGATCTCAGAATCCGATATGTCGCTTGACAACCAACTTTCTACAATTATGATTATGTCGTAGTTTGAACACATAACGGATACCAGTAAGTCTTGAATTTTTGTGCGTAATCCACCTACATTCTGACAATAGACATATAATGAGGGAGTTTCTAGTTTTTTTCAATATTGAGTGTTTCAATTCTAGGGACACCTCTTCTATATTTTATCGTAGAATTTCTCTCACCATTTTCTTGCCTATCCATCAATTCCTTTTTCACTTTCTTGAATATTTCCTGTTGTAATTTCTTTCGATCTGCACTTATCCTAAAATTTGATTGCTGCAGTTTCTGTTTCGATTTCAATATTTCTCTGACGAGATAACTATTAAAAAACACAACTTTCAGTGGTTTAGCTCTAGAACCATCAGAACGACCAACACGAAGAACTTTCAGAATATTGCTTTCCGCATCACGTATATCAAGAATATGCATTATTTCTCTAACTTTCTCTTTATCATCATCTATTTTTGATTTAAGATCCCTTGATCTAGATTCTGGAACGTTGTAGATCATCAGATTATTTGCTCTATTCAATCGTTCGTTGATTTCTCCGAACATACTCTCCACATTTCCAAAATCTCTATGCTCCCTCAATCCTTTGACTTCTTTTCTGAGTTTATCAACCTCCTGTTGTTTATCTTGCAGTCCATCCATATTAGTTTTCTTCAGTTTCTCGACTTCAATTTGTAACTCTTCTAAAAGTTTCCTCAAAATTGGTACTTGTAATAAGCCTTCTTCACAATCATCACAAAAATATTTCATTTTCCTCGACGATAGTTGTAGACATTTCACCTCTGTTGCTGTAACTCCTGCACAAGTGATATGAATGAGTCTTTTACATCCGTCACATTTGAATGTGGTTCTATCCTCAAGAGCTTCTTTTTTACACCCGAGGCATTTATTATAGGAACTCATAGTTGAATGAAATTCTCCTGGGTCCTGACCTGTCGTAGAATTTTTGAGAAATCGGGAGACCAACACCAGACAATTTATAGACACTGTTTTTGTCGAAGTTTTTGTTGTATCACTTTTTGTTTCGTTTCGATCCGTAGATTTCCTTAATTCACTACCTCTTGGTCGAAATAACTATTATACAAAAATGTCGATCATAGATTCAACATCCAACGAATCAACTGAACAGATCGATATAACTTTTGTAATTAATCGATCAAATTTAACACTTAAAAACGAGGATTGAGACAGAGCACACACATTTACATGTACATATTGATTCAGCACTCGATCAAAGTTATCTGTGTGTATGTCATAGCAGCTGTAAGCATGAACATAGCACTGGAATCATTTTTTATCCATTTATTCAACTCATCACCACCGGACGTTGGCATCGGTGTCGAACCATCTGCTACGTTGAAAACTTCCTTTGCTTTCAAGGCACACTTGATCTGGAATCTCCACTGGTGATAATTCTGCCCATCAAATTTGTTGATGCTGGATACGTCTACACCTTTGTCAGACTAATTTTAAACTTTAATAATACACACTGTAGACTATTACGGTTTCGCAGAGAAAAGACAAACTTTTTTTCTTATTACCGCCAAAAAATGCTGACCACACCCTGGACCTTGGAGTTCAGGTTAGTTTTTCTTTCTTCTATCGACAAACGATCTCCTGCTTATTTCGACCAACGTTCAACTGGGCCCATAACCTTTTATGGGTTTTATTAAATAAACAAAAGTAACCTGAACGACGATCAACATTCGACTGACTATATTAGAAGACATTGACGTCTGACATATGACTTGTTGACATAACATTCAGTGTTGACAACCTAACTAAAACAAAGACACTATGAGATTCAAAGTGGATTCAACAACAGAACAATATCTAGAAAAAAATGCCAGTTATTATAATCTGAATAATCCTGATCAGAAGGATGGATATCATTTGAGCATTGTCACCATTAATAAAAAACAGTACTCACCATCACAATAACTTGGAGAAATACTACCACTTAGGGCAGGCTGCTTTTCATCATTCTTTCTTTCAATATGCCCTGGGGAAAAATCAATTAGCACAATAACCAATGGCCTACAATATATCATACTGATTAATTGATCGATGTAGATTTTTACAACTTCATCTCATTAATTGAATTATAATAGATGTTTCAACATTAAAAAACTTTCCAATCCAATTTTTATTAAGATAACAGAAAATGTTGCCTTACTTGGAGTCACTGACTTATGTTTAGTAGGCGGATCTGGGAGAAGTCCTTCCTCAGAACCTGAAGATGAAGAGGAAATAACTTTCTTGTTCCGAATTTTTCTGTTCCTCAAATCATCTTCATCGGTTACCAAATCACTCTGGTACTCAGCCCTTCTGCATTTTTGGCGAGCTTCGAGGTAATTATCTGAAAATATAACCATTATAATGATATGATGAATATCAAGATGAAAATATCTTACCAAATATTCCATTTTTGAAAATAGAAATTTCGTGAGAAGGCCAGCATGTATTTGGAGTTTCATGATTCCTAATAGCAATCAAAATTTTCTGCTGTGTTAGTGGAGGCCAATAACATTGATAGCCAAAGATCCACGTCGTGGGCACTGCTTCCACAGAATATTCTTCGATGAACTTCAGAACTGTCCATGTTCTATCCATACTGAATATTTGAGTGAACTCTCAGTTCTGAATGTAGGGCAAAGAACATCAACACAATAAAAATAATCAAATTAGTTTATAGATGAAAAATGTTTTTTTTGTGTGCAGCTGTTTACCAGTTTTAAAGAAATAATTTAAATGACAGCAACAATAATAAATGAATGAGAAAATAGTACAGTTTCATTAGGATCGAATGTGACATTTTGTTTGACAAGCAAATTTTGTGTTTGCGAGGCGGAGCGACCCCGAAGCCGAGGACGCAAATTTTGCGAGTTAAACAGTCACTTTTAATCCGAATGAAACATTTTTCTGCAATCGAAATAATTGATATCTAATTATTATAATTTGAGTGAAGTTGCCACTATTTTGACTCACTTGAGCATGTCAGTGTCGAAGCAGCTATCATATCAGCTGTCATCCGACACACTTTCAGTTCCTAGGAGTTGAACTTCAACTTTAGCTCCTAGACACTAAAAGTGTTGCCTAGCAACATATATTTTACGGTGTCAGTGAGAAAAACGACAAATTCAAGAGCTAATTTTTGAACAGAAATGGACGACTTTCGAGTCGATTGCAGAAAAATTACTGTTCTTATTTATATTTTCAACTGATGCACGATGTCTGGTTCAGCATAATATACGTGGGAATTGAAGTTTATCCTGGAAAATATTATTTATACCTACAATATGGATTATACTCTGTATGTGAATTTTGGGAAAGTGAAGCTAGAATATTCTTGGCCACCTCTATAATAGTTTTTCTCATTTTTATAATGTTATCACACCTATTTATATGGATAAGTAGTAGATAAATGTGATATCAACATCCACGAACCTGTAATAATTAGTCTCCATGATACCCTATTATCTATTGACCATTTGAGACTCTATCATCAAACCAAACAATTCTATTGAAAAACTATTAATTATTATATTTTGTATAGTAGCTATGAATGAACAGATAGGTACTATAACAGGTGTAATAATGGGAAAATTACGTTTTTGTTGTAACTTAAGATAATGAAATTACCACTAACAAGACAACGACTTCATATAATTTCATATAGTAGAATCCCAATGTACTCGACTCAATCTATATTCAAAATATGACATGTCAAGACTGACAAACACGAATAATCAATACTGACGCCAGAAGTCCTGACATCTCAATAATATATACAAGGTATAACAATCTCCCACACTATTTTAAATTGAATGAAATATTCAACTAATAAACGTCATTGAACATAGTCGCCCAAATATGTCGGTCGACGACGTGGACGCTGCAGACGATTTGACACAGAATCTGGTTCAGAAGCGACGACATCTGTTGGAGTTACAGGGGGTGTCATCAGTGGTACAATCTCTGGAGGTCGAACTTCCTCATCTGAAACAACTTCCTCAGCTGGAGTGACTTCTTCATTTTGTTGAATTATATTACGTCGTGAATGAATGACAGTCACGGTCGGATTGCGAGTCGGAGAACATTCCTGCGAGGAGTCCATCGCGGATCGAGTTCGAGCTGGAGAGTATACTTCTTGTGGACTAGCTAAGGTAATTCGACGTGTTACTTCTGATTGACGAAGCTGGTCGATATGACGTTTTAGTGCATAACCATCATCCAACTTCACTCTGTAGTGTAGTTTTCCGAATTTTTCTGAAATAACTCCTGGCTTCCATGCCACCTTCCCACTGGTGAACATCTTCACGAGAACTCTATCTCCCACACTAAATGATCTCAAGCAGGAGCGCAACGGAGAACTAGATGCTTTCTTCGAGTTTGGAGGCTCTAGCGGCTTGAGCAGATCCAATTTCGTGCGGATTTGTCTACCTAGATAGAGCTCAGCAGGTGTCTTATCACAACGTAGAGGAGTAGCGCGATAGCCGAACAAAATGTCGCGAATTTTTGAATGCATCGACCCATCTTCTGATTTCATGGCATCCAATTTTCTTTTCAAAAATTGAACGTAACGCTCAGCTTGACCATTCGTTTGAGGATGTCCTGGTGCAATAAGACGACGATTAATTCCATTTGTCTCACAGAATTTGACGAATTCGGAGCTGATAAAAATTGTGGCATTGTCGAAAACAATTACCTCAGGCAAGCCGTGGACACTGAAAATGTCTTTCAGAAATTCAATTGTAGAAGCTGACGTCGGTGCAGTTTTTGATAATCTGATCTCCGGCCATTTTGATTTAGCGTCAATAAGGATGAAAATGTGATAACCATCTTTAGGACCTGCATAATCGACATGAACACGTTGGAAATTCGAGTTCGGTTCCTCCCACGGGTGTAATGGTGCAGCAGGTGGAGAACAAACAGTCAAAGCACAAGCATCACAACTCTTCACAAATGATTCAATGTCTCGATCAATGTTTTTCCAGTAACAATACCTTCGAGACAGACTTTTCATTTTCGACGTCTTGACGTGGGTAGCATGAAGCTCTGACAATACTGAGGCTTGAAGAGTGTCAGGGATTACGACCCGGTTTCCTTCAAAAATCACGCCATCTTGCGCGAATATTGTTCCTCTTGATTTTCTCCACTCTTCAGTTGTTTAAGTAGTTTTGACAGTTGTCTATCTTGGGTCGTAGCAGCAGCGATGGTTTTCGCTGATATCACGTCGGATGATATCTGATTTATACATTGCTGTTGAATGATGTCGTCCTCGTTCAAAGCAGGTAGACTTGAGTGCAACGGAGCTCGTGAAAAATAATCGACATGTACATTTTCCTCTGCTTTCCTATGTTTGATGACATAATCAAATCCACTTAGAATTGTGGCGTATCGCAGGAGTCGTGAAGCGGAAAGAAGTGGCAGTTTAGTGTCCTGGTGGAATATTCGACTTAACGGCTTATTGTCGGTGACAAGAGTGAATTTTCGGGCAAATAACCTTAAAATCGACTGCCAAACGGACTTTACCATTCGCTTTTGGGATTGGAACCAAGGGTGAACCCCAATCCGAATGATTCACTTGATATATAATATCATTTGATATTAATTCATTCAGTTCTTTATCGACTGCATCGCGAAGTGCAAAGGGAACGTCTCTGGCTTTCAAAAATACTGGGCTGGCATTGTTCTTCAATTTTCATGAGCACGTGAAGTTCGGAATACACCCCACTTTTTGTTCGAAAATATCGGCGAACTCCTCCATAATTGACTCAGGGGTTATTTCCACAGAACCAACAGATTTGACGAATGCAGGATTCACCTTCGACATATCTAAACGTTTGAGATCCACATTCAATCGACGTATCCATACTCTTCCTAATATCGGGCTAAGCTGA